AAACGTTCCCGTAGAAGCAGCTTGCTAGCGGAGGGACCCGCGCGTGGAGAAACTTTCATCACGAAACTGCGTCTTGTTGGCTATTTAAATGAAATCTGCGTACATTTCCAACGTATGCCTGATAATCGCACGTCCTGACTGTTCAGAAAATACTAAAACCCAGTAGAATTTAACATATTTAGGTCTCACATGGCGTAGAATATCATCGTAAAATTTTAGCTCCCTAGTTTAAGCGACTGGCAAAAACACTTTTCGTTACAAATATCTATGACGTGCCCGACCGGGCAGCACAAGCATGCATCAAATCTCATTTTATGCTTACACGCTCGCGTATGGACAGAAAATATTCTGGTAAAGTCAGTACATTCTAATTAGTCTAGTTGCGGAGTTGGCAGTTTGCCAAAAATGTTGTGACTTCAGCTCTGTTCTTGTGCGTCATAGCTGGATTTGAAATCTTTAGCTCACAAAACGCGTAGAGCTTCCTTATGAAATTAGCTTTTTATTTGTTTAACTCCCGAAATCGTTTTCTTAGCAAAATTTTTTCGCATTTTTTTTTTCAGGCCCTCGTACTTGTAGTCAAGGGTCCATGAAGGTTGATTTAGGGTCGGAACAAGCTCCAAAAATTTCAGCTTCCCAGCTTCTCTGGCTGCTTTAGTTCGAAATAGGTGACAAAATGCGTACACATGGACAAAAACAAAACGCACACACAGACAATCTCTTGCCACTATGTGTTTTTGCTTATGTATAAATATGCAAAAACGCATAACTGTTTCTTCCTGAGCAACGTCATTAAATTCTTCGAGAAAAGAGTTTGTAACATTGATTTGTTTAGAACCATCAGGGCGATCAAATGCGCATGCAATACCGCAACGAGAAGTGGTACAACAGCGACCAGTGACCGTTGCGCAGCGTCAGATGAAACAAAACGGCGGCTCAGATTACGATAGTATTGGCGAAATTGTAAGCTGACAATTGTCTTTTCTGATAATGTAAATTTAGGGGTGTATTTGAAAGGTTATTTTTTGATTG